CAGCCAATTTTGAAAGACATGCATCTTAGCTCTGGAAATTGTTATTGAATATCTCAATGCTGTTGTAATGAAATGCTTCTTCTAATTATATCATTATTAAATAAATAATTTTAAAAAGTCTCATCATAGATGTGGAAAAGCGGTAGAAGCCCCAGGATTAACTGAGGAATTCTTGACATCCTATGACTACTGGGGAAGGGAGAGTTGATGTGCTGCTAGATAAGTAAACTAGAATCCAGGGAATGGACCCACACCATAGGGCATTTGCAGACACACATTTGATTAGTTAGGCCTTAATATATATTACACAATACTTGAAACCCAACATGGGTGGTAGGGACTATAAGAATGGTGCAGATAGGGGAGGAGGTCTAAATATAAAAATATTTTTTATGAAGCCTGCAAAAATTCAGGAAAATAACAAATAAATAATGTGTTCAACGTTAAACAACAGAGTAGAATTCATTCATATACACATACCTTCTCTTTAAAATAATTTAAAACTTAAATGTGCCAATTGCTCTGTAATTCATTCCATTTTTATTTTAAATTAGACATTTGCCTATTAGTTTTAATGATTGGATAGTTGTGGCAGCCAGTGACAAGTGCTAATCAAATAATTTAATTTACTTTTCATATGAATGAAGTAAGGTGAGGGCTTATTCTGGAAAGGTAGATAAGAATAAGGAACATTTTTAGGAGGTTTTTTTTCTGGGGGGGGGTGTCTCTGCAAATAATCATTATAAATATTGAAAATTGAAATCTTTAATTTTGAAGTTTTAACATTAATGCTTATCATCTTAAAATATATTTGTTATAAAACATCTCTGTTGCTTATAAAATACAAAATGTCCCAAATAATGTTAAAACATATATTATGAAGGATGGTTTTTATGAGGTTTAGCGTATTATTGATACATACATTATTTCACTTTCAAATTTAGTGGAATGATGAAGACAATGAGTGACTCTTTACTATAAATATTTAAAGAAAATTTCACATGATTTTTGTTCCCATAAACTTCCTTTATTTAATGCTCATTTGTATCAATGGTTTGTCTGACATTCATACCAATGAACTGGGACACTTTTTCTGTTTTATCAAGTCAACAGTCATAAATCCATACTATATTCTCTTTGGAATCCTACAAAAATAAAAGAACCAAATGTGTCCTTTAATATTTTAGTACCATGATAGGAAAAACAGTCAGTACTGATTTCCTTTATATCTGATGCCCTTTGGATAAACATTTCCCTTCTCACAATTGACATATAAGGAGGAAAGCCACAGAGCATAGTGGCCCTTTTTCCCTTTCTTTACAATATT